TGCTATGGCCTGATCCAGACACCAAATGGGGTTAATGCCATGTTGGCCTCTCCTCACTGAGAAGCCAGACTTTGGACTGCAGGATGCTGAGGCAGAAAAGACCCATGTCTCCATGAGGTGCTTGCTGCCAGGAGACAGCTGAAAACGTGGCAATGCCCCATCTTATCTCCCAGAACTCACCAAGCGCCTCAGTTCTCAGATAGAGCCTCATCTACACGCAGGCTGGGGGGTTGGTGGGCTTCTTTGCTTCTTTGATGGCTTGCTTATTTTGTTTTATTTTTAAAACTAGCTTTCCATACACTGCTGTTTGAGAAAACAAACACCAGAAAAGAATCCAGGGAAAGCATGCTGGAGGCCAATGGAGAAAAGATTTGTTTCAAATCCCAGGCCTTCAGCCAGCAGTGTTACCAAGTGTAAAGGAGCTTAGGATGTTGGTGGAGTGTGTTCTATTGGGTGGTGCTTTTTTTTTTGTTTTGTTTTGTTTTGTTTTTTGTTTTCGAGACAGGGTTTCTCTGTGGCTTTGGAGCCTGTCCTGGAACTAGCTCTGTAGACCAGGCTGGTCTCGAACTCACAGAGATCTGCCTGTCTCTGCCTCCCGAGTGCTGGGATTAAAGGCGTGTGCCACCACCGCCTGGCTTGGGTGGTGCTTTTTAAGAATCGTCTAGGGTATGGAACTTGGCCTCATGGACAAGTGGGTAAGTTTATCCTGGGTACTGGGGAGATGGTTCCAGCATCCAGAGACCCTCAGACCTATGCAGTGATGGGAAGAGTCCATTGCCCACACTTGCACACACAGCACAAGGAGGAAGACTGCTCTTCGGTAATGGACTAGCAAGTCTTGGTCATTCCTCAAGATCCTTGGCATCAATTATGCTTGAGAGATGGTCTGGGCAAAGAGCACTCAGGCCTAGATATTCATTGCATATACAAAGAGAATGTGCAGAGACCCTTAGGGACCTTGGGAAATTCTGTATCCCATCTTCTTTTCTAACCCCTCCTGCTCTTTCTCTGTCCTTCCCAGGCCTAGGAGGAATGGTGGTACCTACGAGATGCTTTGTTTTTCAATTAAAGTCAGGATCACATAGCCCAGGCTGGTTTCTAGCTGGCAATGCAGATGGGGATGAGTATGAACAACTGACCCTCCTGCCCCTACTTCTCAGTGCTGGGATTACAGGTGTCCAACACAATGCAACACCCAGCTTATGGAACGCTTTTCAAGGGGACCTGAAGCTTTTGGGATAAGTATCTCTGCTTCATAGGCAAGCCATCCTCATGACAAATCTTGAAATGTTGGGCATAAATTTTATTAAGGGACTTAAGTGTATTCTTTTTTAAATTTCATTTATTTTGTATACAGTGTTTTGCCTGCATGTAGAGAGACCAGATCTCATTACAGATGGTTGTGAACCACCATGTAGCTGCTGGGAACTGAACTCGGGACCTCTGAAGATTAACCAGTGCTCTTAACCTCTGAACCATCTCTCCGGCCCTGCTAAGTAGATTTTTTTTAAGGGCCTGACTGATGAGGTCTTCCATTCCTCAAACTGAGCATCTGCATGTTCCTTTGTAGAACTGTGGCTGCAGTTTCTTAGGGTTCAGGGCTCACAGCACCGAAGTGAACACGTGTGACTTTCTACTCCATTAGCCCTTGTAGGATCCTCCAGCCATTTACTGTGGGAGCACAGGCTCAGTCTCCCTCTCTTCTGACTGATGCAGCTGGAAGCTCGTGTCTCAGTATGAGCATAAACGCCAAATCTAGTTAAGCGGCCTCCTGAAAGACACGCTTCCCCCCATACGCAACGAATAGCTCAGTTCAATGAAAATCTCACGTGTATCAGCTGATTGTGTTTCTTGTTGTGACCAAATGTGACGAGAAGTGATATAAAGGCTTATTTTGACTCGGTGTTTGAGAGGACACAGTCCAGCACGGTGGGGAAGTCAAGGCGACAGAGTGCAAGGCAGCTGGTCACATGGTATCTGCAGAGCGAGGAGAAGGCCGGAGTTCTGTCCTCCTCTTGTCTTTTCAGTACATGATTCCAGGATTCCAGCCAGTGGGTGATGCAGCCAGTGTTCATGGTACTCTTCCCTCTTCGGGTTAAGTGTCTCTGGAAACGCCTCCACAACGCACAGAGGTATGCTCCATGGCGATGTCTGGATCTCATCACGTTAACGATGAAGATTAACTATTACATACAAGTTCTATTTTAAGCCCAGGAACTATTCTTGAGTACAACTCAGTTCTTGTTGCTGGGAAGTCTCCTGAAAGCAGCCCTGAGTGGCGGGCAGGAAAGGGAGATGTTTAATGGCGGCCTCCCCCGCCTTCCTCACCTTCCTGCGTTGAATGTCCAGACTGTTACAGTCTTGGCTGTTCCCAAGTGACTGGGCACAGGCTCCTCTTTCAATGTATCAAACAAGGCAACCACATACAGAATGAAAGCAGCCACAGGGCAGCAGAGCTCTAGAAGCTGACTCCCTTTCTTTTGTTGAGCTGAAGACTGAGGTCAGTAAAGGCACTAATGTCATGGTTCAGATGTGACATGTCCTCATGAAAGGCTCCTGTGCTGAAGAATTAGTTCTCAGCTTGTGGTCCAGTCCTTGTGAGGTGGTTGAATCATGACAACTCTGAAACAATGCATATTTAACGACAGTATCACAGGGGAGAGAGTAGGGGATATGTAGCCTTGAGGTCTGTGCTACAGGAAGGTGTAGCTTGTCCTAAGGCCGTTCTCTGTCTCCCTTTCCCCACCTCCTCCATCTTTCTCTCCACTCTCTCCTGTTCTCCATGAGTTAAGCTCTGCTTCCCCTTACACGTTTCTCACCACAACGCCTATCACACACGAGCTATCAGAGACCCAGGAAAGGAGACATTTCATAGTGAACGCTTCTTATGTGAAGCATCCAGCAAACTGAACCCTTGAAATTCTGTCTATAAAGCATGATCTCTGTTAGTGGCAAAACAATGACATGCTTCTGTAGGCTCTTAGAGTCATATTTCTAGGGCGAGGGGTAACTGACCATGACTAAGCAGCGACTTCCAGGAACACGGCTGTTTAGCTTCAGTAGGGGAGCCCTGGACCTGATGTAAGAGATCAGTGCTGCTACAGAACAGCTGACGTCCCGAAACAAGGTTGAAATGAGAGAGTGGGAAATGAGAGAGGGAGATAGACCAATGTCAACCAATTTTGTTCATGTCCAGAATAAGCTCTGAAAAAGAGTTAGGTACAGGAAGCACCGCATATTTTTGTTTACTTCATCAGCAGGAAAATCTATATTCTAATAAGGGGTGGCACTTAGGGTCATACTATCTGTTGGGTACAAATGATCACAGGCTTGTGTGGGCAGTGACAGAGAACGAGGAATTAGTGATCACTCAATCCGCCGACTGCCACGTTAGTGCTGTCTCTGTGTGGCTGCAGGCACACGGGCTCTTCTTTCCTTTTTTGAGACAGGGTTTCTCTGTGCATCTTTGGCTAGCTTGGAACTCACTCTGTAGACCAGGCTGGCCTCGAACTCACAGAGACCTGCCTACCTCTGCCTCCCGCGTGCTGGGATCAAATGCGTGCACCACCACCGCCTGGCTTGAATCGAATTCTTCTTAGGTGTCCACTGGCCTCACATGTTTTTAAAGGTCCTCTGCACACATGGCAGAGGGATCCTCAAGAGCTAAAAGTCAAGACATCACTTAGCCAGAGGGAAGGGAGCAGAAAGCAAGGGCCACAAGAAACAGTTTCTTTTAAAAAAAAGATAATTAATTTTTATATGTGCAAGTGTTTTGCCTGTATGTATGTCTGAGCACCACGTGTATGCAGTGCTCTTAGAGACCAGAGATGATTGTCAGATCCTCCAAGATCAGAATTAGGGATGATTATAACGCACCATATGGGTTTTGGGAATCAGACCTAGTTTTTTGGAGTGAGCCATTGCTCCAGTCTCCAGATCTTTTTCTTTCTTTCTTTCTTTCTTTCTTTCTTTCTTTCTTTCTTTCTTTCTTTCTTTCTTTCTTCCTTCCTTCCTTCCTTTCTTTTTCAGTTTGGAATCTGCTTTGTTCACTCATCTTTTCTCATGCTGTTTTTGTGGCTAACGACTACTAATCTACACGTTTATTCCAGACCTTCTGAACGTCTTATACCCCATAGTTTATGGGCTAGGCACACTTGGATGTTGTTTTACACTCAACCCTCATAAAATGAGAACAACTCGTACATTTATTTCTCCTCTCAGGTTTTGATTGGGCTTCATTCATCATTTACTCAGGTGTTAAATCGAAGAGTCCCCCCTGTGTTGGCCTAACTAGGCTAGCCACATCTACCTTCACAACTTGCTTTCTGTCTCCTGGGCCCCTACCTCATCACAGATTGATATGTCCACCTTATTTGTCTCTCCACTCCAATACTTTACCCATCACTGACGAAGCTATTTCTGGTAAGAAAGGCAGAATGTCATGGCACCTAGGAATACACAAGTCATGAAACCCCCGTGTCCTGTCCTCTGCCCCATCTCTCCAATCTCCCAGCAAGGAGTCTACTGGTTTCCTACTGGCGCCATGTCTCTGTGCCTCTGCAAGCGGCCTTCCTGCTCTGGAAAGGCAGATTCACCGGTGTCTGGTTCTGCAGTAGCAAGCTGTAAGAAAGTACTGCGTGGGTTCAAGCCATTAATGTAGATATTTTCTTGGCAAGACAAGTTTCCCTACATCAGGGATCTTGCTCCACTTGGTCCCCAGAATCTGCTATGGTAGAAACGACATGGTGCGTAGTGAACTTGGTAGAAACTGAAATACTTTACATAAGATGGCTCGCTGTACCAGTCGGTGACTTTTAAGATGCACGGCTTCCTTGGGGCATTGTTACAGGTCGTTTTCCAGGTAAAGGGCAGAGAGGGGTGGCCGGTTGCCTGCGGGCTGAGTTGGGTGACTGCCCGCGCGCCTGCGCCCTCTGCGGCTCCAGCCCTGGCGCGTCTCTGTGCGGTGTGTCTGGAGAGAAGAGGCTTGGGTGACAGGCCAGGGGTTGGGGGAAGAGTTAGCCAGCCCGAGTCGCAGTTTCACTCCCCGATTTCTCTGCGGCGGGACCGAGACCGCCTCGGCAGGAGGCTGGCTCATCTGCCCGCATCACCGCCGTTCTACTACAGCCCAGCAGACTGCTCATCACCCTTGCTAGTGAGTTGTGGAGGCTTGTGAGCCCGGCAGAGCGGCGAGCTCTCCCTGGCAGTTCTGTCCTCCCACAGTGTGTGTGTGTGTGTGTGTGTGTGTGTGTGTGTGTGTGTGTTCGCGCGCGCGCACGCATGGGGCATCCCTGGGATTCCGCATCTGTTCCGAGAGCTCTGGTCGGGGATCCGCGTTGTCCATCCTATCCGAGTCTGCGCCGCGATGCGGCTGCTCCCCCAGGCAGGGGCTCCGACGACGGGATTCCCCAGCTCGGCGCGCAGCCACGGGTGGAGTTTCCCGGGAAGGCGCAGGGGTAAGCGGGCGGAGCCCAAGACCAGGTCGGCGAGCCACTGGAAGGCCGGGAATCTGCAAGCGAGTCCGGTCCGGAGCAGTCCAGGGAGATGCCGTGACTGCCACTCACGGCCGTTTCTCCGCCTTTCTCTTTCTTCTACCCTTTCTTTTTCTTTTCGCAGCAACACTACAAAAGCTCAGAAGGAAATCCACGCAGTGGAGCCCCAATCCCTCCCACCAGGTGCACATCGCGGCGGGATGGGAGGGGTGTCGGATTCTCCAAGATTAGGTATTAGGTTTACACCAGGGTACACCGATGCTGGAGCTCGCTGAATTCAAGTTGAGTGCTGGATTGCACAAGCAGTTTTAACATGTACTCTCTCTGTGTGTGTGTGTGTGTGTGTGTGTGTGTGTGTGTGTGTGTATTTGCGCAGGCGCGCACACACCCCAGGGCCCATGTTCCTTGGGGTGCTTTAGGCAAATTGTACACCTCCCCGCCGGCCCGCCAGTGCTGAGCCGCTTCGGTGGGTTCCTCGCGCACGCTATGCCAGCGTCTCTTTGTTTGGTTGTGTCTTCATCCAGCCATCTGCAAAGCAAATTGATTTTCGGTTTCGCTCAACATTGCGCTCTGGGACTTAACGTGGGCCACAGCCTTGAATGCCCTCGTTACTTGTAATTGAATAGTTCTTTCCGGCAAGGGGCTATTTTTAGCGTAAAGAATAACCAGGCAAGCATGTTGACCTTTTTTCTTTCCTCCGGCTGCCTTTAGCTTTGAATAAGTAGGTGTCTGATGGAGTAGACGAATTCACATCTCGTCGCGCACACGTGCCAGAGTACAAGTGTGCAAACACATTTCTACACGTAGTTTTCTTTCTATCGCTTAAAAAATGCAGTTTGAAAATTGAGATCGGGAAGGCATTGTGTGTTTGTAAAAGAAAAAAAAACTTTCCTTTGTTCTTTTGGGAATCTTCTATTTTGAGTCACGGAGTGGGAGTACCAAAAGGTTGCAATTAGTTCACTCGAATTTAAAGACACTGCCTCTGAGTCAGAGTTGCCCGGTTGATAATTATTAACATATAAAAGCAAACGCACTGTTTAAGGCAAAAGGGGCGGGGCGGGGGCTGGCTCGCCGCAGACGATGAGGGAGAGTCTCCCTGGACCGCCTGCTGCTCATTGTTCCGGGACTGCAGGCTCTTTCTGCCGGGTTCATCTAGTGGCTCGCACTTCGGTCCCTCTGGAGACCACGGGGTTACCTAGCGCTACCCGCCCCCTCCCCCCTTCCCGCTTCCCCCAGCCCGGGCTCTGGGACGCCAGCCCCAACTTCAGCCATCCTTCCCTGACTATCCGTTCTGTGCTTTGCAGGTTGGCAGTTTCACCCCCGAATGTATCACAATCCCCGCGGTGGGCACCGAAAACCCCTGGGAGCACTAAGTGGGATGCGGTTCGGACAGTCGCGCTAAGTGACACCTCACTGGGCACAGAGCGCTCTTGCTCCTGGCCACCTTCTGAGAGGCGGTGGCGGAGGGGATGAGCACCGGACGCGCAAAGCGACTGCCGCGAGCTATCCCTGGGAGGTGGACGCCGAGCAAGGCTCCTCGCAGGACCGTGGGGATCATTACCTCCCCCAGCACGAGGTGGCGAAACCTTCCCGCTGCGCCTCCGGTCAGGATGCTCTGGGCACCTGCCTGCTGTTGAGATGTTCCGTTAAGCGGCTCAGCCACACGCAGCCCGGGTCTCAGGTGGGCAATACTGAGTGGGCTTGGCTTCGGCCCCTCGTGCAGGTGGATGAAAAGTGCCGGAGGCCTTGCATGGGATAAGCGTTCAAATTTTAAGAATCATGGACGAAGGGACTGTGCAGTCCCGGGCCCAAGAGCAGCTGGAGGCACCTGCGGCTGTCCAAGAGAAGTGCGAGTCAGAGACCTTCAGGTCGAAGAGTTTACCAGTCCTGCACAGCGCCTCCTGCCGGCCGAATCTCAGTGCTGGGTACGCAGATGGCGAGCTGGCCTTGGGCTGCACGAAAGCTTTGGGTCACCAGGAGAGGCATCGAGGACCGAACCTGATAGTCCCTAGCCCTTCTGCCCCATCCACTTCGGCAGGGACTGCAGCCGAAGTCATCGACTGCAACCACAGGATGGACCCCAGCAAAACTCTGTCGGTGTCTTCTACTCTGGCTACACTCCAGGAGAGAAGGTGTCTCTATGTGGTCCTCACGGATTCTCGCTGTTTCCTAGTGTGCATGTGTTTCCTGACCTTCATCCAGGCCTTGATGGTCTCTGGGTACCTAAGCAGCGTCATCACTACCATCGAAAGGCGCTACAGCCTGAAGAGTTCCGAGTCCGGGCTGTTGGTCAGCTGCTTTGACATAGGAAACTTGGTCGTGGTGGTATTCGTCAGCTACTTTGGTGGCCGTGGGAGAAGGCCTCTATGGCTGGCGGTGGGTGGACTTCTTATCGCTGTCGGGGCTGCGCTCTTCGCCCTACCTCACTTCATCTCGCCTCCCTACCAAATCCAAGAGCTGAACGCTTCGGCCTCCAACGATGGCCTTTGTCAGAATGGCAACTCCACAGCCACCTTGGAGCCTCCTCCCTGTCCCAAGGAGTCGGGAGGAAATAATCACTGGGTCTATGTGGCTTTATTCGTTTGTGCGCAGGTTCTCATTGGAATGGGCTCCACACCGATTTACACCCTGGGACCAACCTATTTAGATGACAACGTCAAGAAAGACAACGCATCCTTGTACCTAGGTAAGACTTGCTGTTCTCTGGGGGTTGTAGTTGACCCACAGAGATGTTCCTTTTCTTCCCCAGGTCTAAAGGAACATGATCTTTTGTATTTTCAATATATTAAGTGTTGTGGCTCACTCCTTCTAAGTTCCATTTTTGGTGTGCTATGTTTTCAGTTTGGGGTAAAGCGTTGTTTGAACGAGTTTTCAGATGCGTCTCATATCTGTCTTTCTCCACCCAGCACAAACACTCAAAAATAGGATAGGATAGGGCCATTTTCTCTTGCTGTCTACCTTTGGGAAATCTCTAATCCTTCAAGTTTATCGTCTAAAAGCTGTCCTTCCTAGAAGAGACGAGAAAGGAAGAGAACTAACTCAACACCAGCTGTGAGCTACCGCTTTCTTTTCCTTGCAACCTCTTCATCCTCACAGCAGCTAATGGGGTAGCCAGACCACATACCCTGTGCCGCTCCCGCCCCTGTACTCCGGTCACCCAAACATCAGTGAAGCCTGAAAGACAAGGGATGAGTAAGTTATGTCTGTCCGTGAAGAGTCAGCACCCCAGGCTAGCAGGTTTATCCCTTTGTGCTTTAAGGACCTCGGTGACTGGAGTCTGTGGGAGTTCCTTACTGTCTTCAGAAGAACATAGGCTCTGTGGTTCCTTGACTTGCATTTAAGAGCGTCAGTGGGCAGAGGTGTTTGGGCTAAGTTCAGAGAGCCCATGGGAGGCCAGGCAGGTAGGGCCATGGCTAACTGACTTCCTCGAAGCATGTTTGATGGTTGTCAGCAGCTCGCTGCAGTAACTGCTCCTTTAAAGTGCACTAAAGGACGGACTTGAATCTTGGAAAGGGCGAGTGTCACTCCAGCTGAGGGATCTGTGTTCCCGTTTCTCTGCTGGAGTCACCTAAAACACCTAACGCCTGTGTGTGTGTGTGTGTGTATATACCTGTGCATAGGCCACAGGACAACCTGAGTGTTGGTTCTTGCGTCTTTTTTTTCCCGTTCTCCTGAGATCAGACTCCCTGGCCTAGAATTCCCCAAGTGGCTCGGCTAGCTGGCCAGCATAAAAGTTCTGATTTTATAAAAATATTAACTAGAGATCGTCAAACTCTAGACATATTTAGTAACTTCTTAGCCATGTGTTGAAAGGATCTTTGATGTGTGAATAAGGATTTCAAAGAGAGTGGGAAACACAGCCAATGTAGGAGAGCTCTACTTTGTCCTCAGTCTACTCACTGTCCTTGGAGGGTGTCGGAGTTGTCTGCAGGAACTGGCCCAATGCAGCATTTATAACTTGATTTTGTTATTAAACGTAAGCTCTTCTTGTGGACAGAGGAGACTAGTTACCGTGCCACTATGTCTTCCAACACTTGACGTGGAAAGTGTAAAGAACAGTATAACAAATGCCAATATATCCATTCATCGGACTTAATAATTGCTTATTTTATCAGCTGTGTATGGTGGCCCAAACCTGTAATTCCAGCATTTGGGGGCTGAAGTGATAGAAGCTAAGAGTTAAGGTCACCCTGGGCTACATGGTGCAGACTGGGCTAACCAGGGCTACACAATCTCAGGCAACAACAAAAGGTCCCCTTTGTCATGTTTATTGGCACCCCCTCCCCTGTATTTGTGTATATTTTGATGTGGGGAGCTAAGCTCTCTGGAAGTCACTGTAGGCCCGTGGCACCACTGAGCCTCAGCAAGCCTTTTCTAGAAAAAAGGGTTTTCTGGGATTGGGGTGTAGCCCAGCTGTAGAGAACTCTCACGGAAGATGTCTCTTCAGCACTAGCAATAAATAGAGAAACAAATAAATGCACTTTTTCCATACTGGCAGATGCATGAACACGCTAAGAAAGTTACAAACTGTTACCTATTGCCATCAAACACCTTCCCAAATTCAGTATCAATTGCCACCTAAATTCCTTTATGTTCACTAATGTTAAAACTAGGATTTCCCCAAAGCCCACTTATTAATATAATTACACTCGGCAATTTGCCATTGTAGCTTTCATATTGCAGAACAGCATCTTAACCTGTGTGTGTGTGTGTGTGTGTGTGTGTGTGTGTGTGACACAGACTTCTTGGGGGACAAGGCTATGGGACGTAGAGTTTTCACATTCTCGACTGATCATTTCTCTCTGGTGACCGTAAACTGAGACAGATCGCTTGTGTTAGTGCACTTCCTAGGTGATGCTGTGTGCTCTATATTACACACATCTGGACATTTTCTGGTGATGCTAGGTTTAACCGTGTAAATCAATGGGTGACTATAAAATGTTTTGCTGGAGAGATTGTCTCTTCCTTTTGAAAACCACGTGGAATTTCCAGAACGATGTCTTGCATCCATATGATTATCCCGGTGTGCTTCCCTGTTTCTGTTGGCCTTTACTTCCGTTTATACCGGAAGTTCGTATCCCTTCTACCCTGCTATAGGCACACAGCTGCACTGGACACAGACTTTCTCCATCAGAATCACAGACCTCATGCCTAGGATCAGAACGTTGAGAGCAGATTTTTCTGAAGAACATAGCAATTGCACATTACATACATATTCATAGTATACCTAGCCTGGGCTAGGAGCTGTCCCAGGATTGGGCCCAGGCTTTGTGCAGGCACACAAGGGCTTCACCGCTCAGCTTCATCCCCAGCTCTAGGCTCCTTTGGGGAAATAAAAATGTTGTGAATCATAACATTTGAGGAGTCTTCAGGACAGGTGTGAAGCGACACGTAGCTTTCTTCTTCCTTTTCCAAAAAGGTGCTGACAGGATTGGTTTTATTTTTATTTTTATTTTTTTTGAAGGAATTGTAAATTGGTGAGTGCCTTAGGGTGCAATCTTAAGGAAACCCATGATAATTCTGCTTTACATGAAATGAATTTTAGTAATCAAAACAAGATTTTTTGGGGGAGGGATGGTTTGTGTGTGGTAGGGGTGAGGAGGCAAAGGCTCATAGTGTAGTCCAGGCTGGCCAGAATTTATTATATCTATAATAGTAGTATATGTAATAGCCTATATATAACGGCTGGCTTTAAACTTGCGATCCTTCTGCCTTGGTCCCTTGGATGCTAGGATTACAGGTACATACCAATACACCTGGCCCAAACCCTTTAGGAATGGACTTTCTAGGCTCCTTCTGTAAAAATTAAGATCAGAAGACTTCTGTTTTGCCAGGACACAGCAAAAGTAACCAGTCAGATTGTGGGATTTCTTTTCTAGAGACTAACAATGGTAAAACACCTCACATAATTCTTCACAAATCTCCCTCTCTTCCTTTCTAACCTCCATAGCCAGACTTTGCACCAAACAGCAGCGACAAACCTAATGCCAGGTTGCAGGCAGGAGCAAGTATCTGAAGTAACATTGAGACCATCAAAGGGTGGTACAATTGCGTATCTTCATCCTGGCAAGGCTCTATGTTAGCATTCTGGTAGTTTGAAGTGCAAGAGAAGAATGAGGACGTAGCTTTGATGAAAGGGCTTCTACCTGTTAACCTCTCTAATTCTGCTGCAAGGATCGAGAGAACCTTAGTGTTGGCTTTAGGTATAGAGAAAGCTTTGTCAGTATTAGTAATACGTTCAGTGGGCAACCAGACCATGATTTGTAAGTATATCTCAGAGATGGGTGTATAGGTGTGTGATCCTTTGGTGGTTAAAAAAAAAAAAGAATTGTGAACCGCGTGGAAGGGAGAAAAAGTGGACAACCAATGGGTGTAAGAAAGGAAGGATGCATTTCTAGAACAAAGAGTCACTGGGGGACTGGCAAGATGGCTCAGGGGTTAAAGGCACTTGTTGCTAAGTCAGATGACCTGGAAAAAAAATCACTACTGAAAATTCTCATCCGACTTCCACACACATGTTGTGTCACACGCTTCCTCCCCAGACAGGATAAACAAAGTGCAATGGAACCCTTTGAGAAGCGATTGGCCCGCTTGGGTGGTATTTGTCATAAATGGAGGTTGGGATGGTCTGGCCGGCTGCCAAGCAGTACAGACACTGGCTTTACTGCCCCCCTGTGCTACCATTTAACCATCAGCCCCGACTCACACCTCAGGACGGAACACAGTTGGTCCGAACTATCCACGGTGTAGGAGGCAAGGGCCGGTGTTCTCCCCTGGTGATGCTCTGGGGCATTTTCACAAACCTTTTCACATCGCCCAGCTTCTCTTTCCAATGGGGATTATGACAGCTTCCCTTCTTAATAGTTTGTAGACTTAGTGGGATTTCGTGTGTGTGAGTGCTCTGTAGATAGTATGGGTGGCACTTTATTGTTATACCAGAATTCAAGCCCATCCTAGGCCTGGGCAGGAGGGGAGTTAATGGTGGTTTACTACGGTGTGTGTTTTCTTCTTTCATAATCAGAAAAAGAAGTCAAAGGATTGTGTAGGAAATCACTCCCTCAAAACAGGGCCCAGGAAAGTCTTGGTCAGCATTTCAGTGATGCTATTTCCTAATTACATTTTATGGGGACTCAAGGTCCTGCCATCAGAGTCTGCGTGTCAACCTTCAATGACTACCTTTCTTTAATGGAGGCCACTAAGTGCGTTTATAGCTTGTGCAACACACCAAAAGCGCCTTTTAAGTGTGAGCGGTGTGTGGTGACCCAGTTTCACCATTATGCCTCTTTTCCTCACACGGACTGGGAACAAATGGACATTCTAAGAGTGACAGAATTCACCAGATGTCCCCTCTAACCCCAGGCAGCTTGCAGCAGCCTGGAAGCCAGGAAGAAGCCAGACTGAGAATTTACTTCCTGGGTTTAACCTCATTCTCAAGAAGTAAGAGGAGGCACGTTGATGCCCCTGTCTGTCTTGAAGAGGGCCAGGGGAAGCAGCAGGTGGCGGGGCTGGGGGCTGGGGGAAGGGAGGCATCAGACTAGGAATCTATTTTGCCTGAAGACTTTTGAGTAGTTTTAAAATCCTGCTTTAAATTTGTGTGCCCGCCTTACAATGAATGCCTTTATCTTTTTAAGCTGTCTGAGATCCTCTTGGAAGTAGGCTCTGGGTAAATCTTGAGTGAATGAAAAA